TAGCTCTACAATTATTGTTGTGTTTTAGAGTTTAATCTATGGAGAAGATAAAGTGGGTGGCCATGGGAAGAGGAAAACGTGTGGGGTGGTAGGGTGTGGAAAATGGACCAAATTATCTGGAGATAAATAGTTAAAAATAGAAAAAGAAAAATTGACTCAAAAAAAGTTTAAAAGTAAAAAAGGCTAGACATATGGCATTTAAGTAATGATTAAGACCCAAAAGTTTTACATTCACCCGCCTCTTTTACGTGTAAAATACGCGCGCGCCATCTGTCAAATGTGGTGTGTACTAGATACACTTTAAAAAGGTTGCGTGTGTAATATTATTATCGTCCACAGAAAGTGTGTAAGAGGGATTTGGACCATAGAACAGGTGACAACTTATGTATTTTTACCCATTCGTTGGATATTTAACGGTAATGGAATATTTTTACCTTTATATCAGCTTTTTCAAACAACAGTTCGATATTTTTCTTCTATGACAAATATAATAGACAATTCATTTCTACTTCAGTCTTTATGCCTTGCTAAAGCCATGCCACATAATAGGTACCCATAGAATTAGTTTCTGAACAAAAACTACATAAAAAGGGCCACCTAATTTAACCATCACGGGAAAACATAAGGTAAAACCAAATAACGTTGTAAAATCTCTTTAAAGATGGGGAATATAAGATACCGGCATATCCAGGTCATACTAAATTCCGGTTGACCTGATCAACTGCCTTGAGTGTTATCTTGTCCCCCAAGCTAAGTGCAATTCCTTGCGTTTTGCTCCTTATCCTAATATAACCACTCAGCTTAGCATCTGCTTGTTTCTCAATGCTTACATTCACCAAAGCATCCTCACCAAACACACTCCTTGCATACAAGTTAGCAGCAAGGAACCCGCATTGCCCTTCCAAAGCAGACCTGAAATTTTGCATGAAAGCACATCCGGAGATATAGTGTCAATAAAGCCATGCATCACAAGAAAAAATGACATTACTCAGTATAACCACATGAGTAAGAGAAAAAAATGAACCCGAAGGCCAATGTGGAGTTTGAAGCCATTAATTTAACAAACTCATTTTAAGTGGTTAAATTACATCCAACAGAGAAAGAAAACAACGGTACAAAGAAGAAGCTAAACTCCAATAACAACAAACTACCTATTTCCCCTAGATGCATAACTAGTATGATCCCAATCTGGTCAAGTTTACCACTTTTCCCTTGATAAAGTAACATGTGCTATCATCCAACTCAAGATTCTTTCACAATTTCTGAATATACCAATACCAAAACTTTTCTTGGTGCGCAATGTAAAACCTGTAATTGGAATAGACAGATCCCCCCTGATACTCTGTTCTCACGACTTCTGAGACTACCTATCATTTGGAAAGCTCCGAGGTTTTAACAGTAACTGTTTTAGCAAATATGAAACCAATGGTCCTAATATCCTAAAGGAGGCTAGAAGAGTACTCCTAAACAAGTCTAATCCCAGCCATATGCAAAAACCATGATAGACATGAAGAGTCATTTAAGTACTTCCAGATTTTCACACAAGTAGACTTAAAAAGAAAATGAAACCCAGACACTTGTTTTTATGTGCACACATTCTTCGTATCCGTAATGGAAAATAATAAACACTTAGTTAAACACAACACGTCTCTCATCAATAATGAAGTTCTAAGTTTATACAGCAGAATAATCCTAGGGCTACAGGTCTTGTTACGATAGATAATACCTTACCTTTTCTTTTACTAATTGTCTCCAAAACAAGTTCTCTGTATCACGACTTTGGACTATGAAAAATGGGAAATGCAATAATCTAGAATTAGATGGTATGGGTATCAATCATGACAAAATCAAAAATTAGAAAACACAGACATAAAAATCAAGCACCAACCGTCCATATTTAGAGGAGGCAAGCGGATAACTTACAGTGCAGTAAGGCATTTCATGTTGGTTGATTTGATTATATGGTCAAGGAATTCTTTTTCCTCCTGAATGACAGTGTTGACAGCAACCTGCAATGCAGACAGTTAGTGGCTCATTCTCAATTCATGCGGACATTGCTCCGCAACGTTGATGGTAAGACAAACAAGAGATTATTTCAAAGTTTAGAGACTAAACAGTGCATTGATTTTAATCAATAAACTCCACAAAGAGATCAACATTTACAAAATTAGCTTGAGAACTAGATCACTTTCAAGCCATTAATAATCTATAGAAGTATTTAGTAAACCCATGCATAACCTAAATTTTGATCCCACATAAACCAAACCATAAGATTGTAAATCATCAAAAACAACAAAGAACGACTATACCAAATATTAATTTTCATTTCTCCAACAAAAAATGAGTTGAATACTAGGAAAGAACAATTCAATGATGGTAAAATAGCAAGGAACAGCATCTTACCTTGTTTTCCCACTCAAATTCTGCCCACATTGTTCTAAAAGCAGCATCACTGCACACTGCAGGAGAGATGTAATCCATGATGTCAATATGGATATCGTTTAGCACAACCACTGTCCGCTCAAGCACATTAGAACTCTCATAAACAATGTTCCCAAAAATTACGCCCGTCTCAGTTGAAGACACCTTGATGTTTGCTTTTATCTGTTTGCTTGACTCAGGAGCAAGAGTATAATTCTGTGGACGCTCAACAAGTTTGAGATCACCCATTGTTGCCAATTCCAAACATAAATTCTGGAGGGTCTCTTTAGTTCTATTAATAACTGTCACATCCAGGACAATATCATAATGATGAACTGTCACGTATGCTTCAGCATAAACAGGATCACTAAATCCCGTGAGTTGCAGAACCCGATTTAGTCTATTAGCATCATTCTCATCCTTGACAAATTCTCCAGTGGCACGTTTCAAATCATCGTGGACTGCATCTTCCAACTCCAGCTGGCTCATGCCCTGGCAAACAGAAATGTATTTATGACATGGAGGAACAAATTTCAACTGCATTGAAGCACCAAAAAACGAAACACCACCTTTAACTAGATGAGCTCTGCCATTATGTAGAAACGACTCAAGATACATATATTAAAGAAAGAAAAAGAAACAATT